AATGAAAAAATATCCATCACCATGGCGGATTTGGTTAGGGCCAAAATTATATATAGTTTTGAATGATCCGGAACATATTGAAGTAAGATTCATAAACATTTCTATAATTTCTTACGATAAGTTTTTAACAGTAAAATTCTTCTGAAATTTTTCATTTTTATATTTTGAAATTCTTTTTTTTCAGATTATTTCTAAACACTCGAATAGTTTTGAGAAAAGTCCCGCATATAAGTTTATGAAACCTTTTTTTGGCAATGGTTTGATATCTGCTTCAGGTAAACTATAGAATTATACTTTTATCTTTTAATGGAAAGAATTATACTTAAATATATATTACTAAGGAAGAATTCTTTTTAAAAATAACTTAAAATTAATTGCTAATTAGAGACTTTTCTCTTTCTTTTCGTATATGACGTGTACACTAATGCATGAAACATATATGTAAAAGAGTTATTTTTTTCTATATCGAAACTTTTTAATATAAAAATGAAAAATATAATATACTTGATTAAAACATATTTTTTATTTAAAGCATCAATATGGGGCAATCATCGAAAATTGTTAAATCCAGTTTTCAAAAAACAAATTCTTTCTAACCATATGAGAAAGATAATAAAACATTTAAACCGATTAACGAGAATTATTGAAAGTTCTAATGAAACAAACATAGACATATCCCATTACACAAATCTTTTTACTTTGGATACGATATATGGTAAGATTTTGAAATATTTGAAGTTTTGGAAATTTCTTTAAAAACAAAGAAATTAAAAAAAACTTCTTTATTATAAAAAAATTTGTTAATATTTGTTTTCTTTTTTAATTGACAGATACAATTTTTGGCCAGGATTTTAATTTCCAAAATAATCCAGAATGTAGACTTCATGACAATATTTCAGAGTAATAATAATAATAATAATAATAATAATAATAATAATAATAATAATAATAATAATAATAATAATAATAATAATAATATTTTTAAATTTTTAAAAATATCGAGTCTTATGACACATTTTGTTTTCTTTCTTATTTTTATTTTTATTCAGAATTATGGACATAACGTTCCAAAGGATCTTCAAATTCTGGTTGCATCCGGATATTATTTTCTACAATTTATCTATAGGAAAAAGATTTCGGAAAGCTTTAGCACACTTGGATACATTAACCTGGAAGGTATAAATAAAGACAAAAATTATTTATTAAATTTATCACATTGTACATATATTATTCTATTACTGCATTAAAATATATATATAACTTATTTGTTAAGATAATAAAGGAACAAAAAGAATCTATGCAAGAAAAGAAAATTAATGGCGAAATGAATGAAAAAGATGCAAGTAATAATAACTATTCAATTATCTAATTCTATTTTTTAACAAATTGTTGCAATAAAATTTTCTTAACATGCTAAAAAGTATATTAATTATTCTTTTTAATAAAGCAAAAAATACTTCTCTATTTCTTGACACGGTATTCAAATCATTCTATGAGGGAAAAGAATATACGGAACAAGATATTCGTGACGAAATGAATACAATAGTTATAGCTGTAAGTAAGATTTTGTCTACTGTAAACAAAACTTTGATTATAAGAACAAGAAAAAGAAAAAATTTTATATTTTTTAGGGAAGTGATACAAGTTCTATTTCAATTACTTTTGTGTTGTTAATGTTAGCTATTTATCCAAAAATTCAAGTACGTATGAGTAAAACCTAATTGCAATATTCACTGTCACTGTCTTTAAAAAACAACACATAATTTTATACTAAAGTTAAATCAAGTTTTCCACATCTTAAAATGCAGGAACAAGTATACGAAGAGCTCTATCAAATATATGGTTCTTCCGATCCGGTAGATGAAAATATTTCATATGAAGATACTAAGAATTTAAAATGTTTGGAAAGAGTAATCAAAGAGACTTTTCGTCTTTTCCCACCTGCTCCTGTTATTGGACGAAGTGTATGTGAAGATATACAAGGTATTCATACACATACTGAATAAATATTTGTATATACAGGGTGATTCTTGTAACGGAGGCGGCTAATAACCTTTTTTTTAAGTAACAATAGAAAAAAATCATAAAGGAAAAACTTATATAGCACAACAAATGTCAAGTTTCTATGACCTTACTTTTTTGAAATTGCATCGATGCACCCGCTAGATGCAGTTGCACTTTTTTTTTTAAATGAAACTTTATATTTTTTTTTATACTATTCGATCCCTTTTTTATTCTACGTTAAAAAGTATTA